GTCCCAGCTACTCAGGAGGCTGAGGCGGGGAATTGCTTGAACCTGAGGCAGAGGCTGCAGTGAGCCAATATAACGCCGCTACACTCCAGCCTGGGCGACAGAATGAGACCCTGTCTCAAAAAACAAACAGGCCGGGTGCGGTGGCTCATGCCTGTAATCCCAGCACTTTGGGAGGCTGAGGCGGGTGGATCACGAGGTCAAGAGTTTGAGACCAGCCTGGCAAACATGGTGAAACCCCGTCTCTACTAAAGATATAAAAAATTAGCCGGGTGTGGTGGCACAGGACTGTAATCCCAGCTACTTGGGAGGCTGAGGCAGGAGAATCACTTGAACCCGGGAGGCGGAGGTTGCAGTGAGCCAAGATTGCGCCACTGCACTCCAGCCTGGGCAACAAGAGACTCCGTCTCAAACAAACAGAAAGCAGGATGCAATCACCAGTGGAGCATAAATGGAAAGGAGATTGGACTGAGCCCCAGGGCACACCAGTTTAGAGGCCTTGGGAGATGAGGGAAAAACAGCCAAGGAGTTGGAGCGAGCGTGGTCGGGAGACAGGGAAAGACAACAGGAGAATGAGGCATTCTGGAAGGCACCTGGAACTGCTTCAGCGAGGAGGCGGAGATCAGCTATGACAAATACTGCGGATGTATTCAGGGAAGATGAGTTAGAATTAACTTTGGGGGACCTTGGCAGGAGCAGTTACAGTGATGTAGTGAGGATAAAAACCTGATTTGAGTATGGATTCAAAAAACCAGGAGAGATTTGGCATATCCATACAATAGAAAACTACTAAGCTATAAAAATGAATGAACAATGGATGCAACAACATGGATAAATTTCAAAATAATTATGCTGAGTGAAAGCCAAACACAAAAGAATATATACTGTATGATTCCATTTATATAAAATTCTAGAAAATGCAAATTAATTTATAGTGACAGAAAGCAGAGGCATGGCATTGCCTGAGGCAAATGAGGGCCATAAGGAAAGATTACGAATAGGCAGAAGGAAACTTGGGGTGATGGACATATTTACTATCTTGATGGTGATGTTTCAGAGGTGTGTACATATATTGAAATGCATCATATTGTACATTTTCAATGTGTGCAGTTTATTGTGTATTAATTATACTTAAATAAAGCTATAAAAATAAAAACATGGCTGGGCACCATGGCTCATGCCTATAATTCCAGAACTTTGGGAGGCCAAGGAGGGAGGATCGCTTGAGTCCAGGAGTTTGAGGTTACAGTGAGCCATGATTATGCCACTGCACTGAAGCCTGAGCAACAGAGAGGATCTGTCTAATAAAATAAAATAGGCTAGGCATGGTGGCTCACGCCTGTAATCCCAGGCACTTTGGGAGGCCAAGGCAGGCAGATCATGAGGTCAGGAGTTCAAGACCAGCCTGACCAATATGGTGAAACCTTGTCTCTACTAAAAATACAAAAATTGGTCGGGTGCCATGGCTCATGCCTGTTATCCCAGCAATTTGGGAGGCTGAGGCAGGTGGGTCATGAGGTCAAGAGTTCAAGACCAGCCTGGCCAAGATAGTAAAACCCCGTCTCTACTAAAACTACAACAATTAGTCCAGTCGTGGTGTTGGGTTCCTGTAATCCCAGCTACTCAGGAGGCTGAGGCAGAGAACTGCTTGAACCCGGGAGGTGGAGGTTGCAGTGAACCCAGATTGTGCCACTGTACTTCAGCCTGGGCAACAGAGCAAGACTCCATATAAAAAATAATAATATTACAAGACACTTGAAAAATAAAGAAATAATAATAATAATACAAAAATTAGCCAGGCACGGTGGTGAGCACCTGTAGTCCCAGCTACTTGGGAGGCTGAGGCAGGAAAATTGTTTGAACCCAGGAGGTGGAGGTTGCAGTGACCCAAGATCATGCCACTGCACTCCAGCCTGGGCAACAGAGGGAGACTCCGTCTATAAATAAATAAATAAAGTAAAAACATGGCCGGACGCGGTGGCTTACACCTGTAATCCCAGCACTTTGGGAGGCTGAGGCGGTTGCATCACTTGAGGTCAGGAATTTGAGACCAGCCTGGCCAGCATGGTGAAACCCCATCTCTACTAAAAATACAATAAGTTAGCTGGGCATGGTGGCAGGCACCTATAGTCCAAGCTACTCAGGAGGCTGAGACAGGAGAATCACTTGAACCCAGGAGGCAAAGGCTGCAGTGAGCCTAGATCACACCATTGCACTGTAGCCTGGGTGACAAAGTGAGACTCCATCTCAAAAAAAAAAAAAAAGTAAAAACATTACAGATAGAGTTGAAGCTCCATTCTGTCCTTCCAGATACCATTTCTTTTCCTCCCCTCCCCAGGTGATTTCTATCCTATATTTGTTGCCTATCATTCTTATGCATGCTTTTTATTTTTAATTACTAAATTTAAAAAAAATTTTATTTATGTAAAAATAGAGACAGGGTCTCATCATGTTGACCAGGCTGGTCTTGAACTCCTGGACTCAAGCAACCTGCCTGCCTTGGCTTCCCCAGGTGGGGATTACAGGAGTGACCCACCACACCCAGCCGGTTCATATGTTTGTATCCATAAATCATAGCATTGTTTTGTATATTTATTTATTTATTTGAGACAGGGTCTCATTCTGTCTCCCAGGCTGGAGTGCAGTAGCACGATCATGGCTCAGTGCTCTCTCACCCACCCAGGGTCAAGCAATCCTCCCATCTCAGCTTCCCAAATAGTTGGGACCACAGGTGCACACCACCATGTCTGGCTAATTTTTGTATTTTTTATAGAGATGGGGTTTCGCCATGTTGCCCAGACTGGTCTTTAACTCCTGGGCTCAAGCAGTCCGCCCACCTTGGCCTCCCAAAGTGCTGGGATTTCAGGCATGAGCCACCATGCCCAGCCAATTTTATAAATTATATGTTTTGTATATATATATATTTTTTTTTGAGATGGAGTTTCGCTCTTGTTGCCCAGGCTAGAGTGCAATGGAATGATCTCAGCTCACTGTGACCTCCACCTCCCAAGTTCAACCAATTCTCCTGCCTCAGCCTCCTGAGTAGCTGGGACTACAGGCACCCACCACTATGCCAGGCTAGTTTTTTGTATTTTTAGTAGAGATGAGGTTTCACCATTTTGGCTAGGCTGGTCTTGAACTCCTGACCTCAGGTGATCCACCCATCTCAGCCTCCCAAAGTGCTGGGATTACAGGCATGAGCCACCACGCCCAGCCACTTTGTACATCTTTCTGCAACTTGACTTTCTCACTCAATATCTTTAAGATACTTTTTTGGCAGGGGGATGGGGTCCCACTCTGTCAGCTGGGCTGGAGTACAGTGGTGCAATCTCCATTTACTGCAACCTCCACTTCCCAGGCTCAGGTGATCCTCCCACCTCAGCCTCCCGAGTAGCCAGAACCACAGGTGCATGCCATCACACCCAGCTAATTTTTTGTGTATTTGGTAGAGACAGTGTTTCACCATGTTGCCTAGGCTGTTCTCAAACTCCTGAGCTCAAACAATCCACCCATCTTAACCTCCCAAAGTGCTGGGATTACAGACGTGAGCAACCATACCTGTTCGACATTTAAACAACAAAAACAAACAAACAAAAAAGATTTATCTCTGTGGATTCTAATATCTGTAGCCGATTTATAGTAATGCCAATAGTCCAATTTCCTTCTTTCCTTCCTCCCTCCTTCCCTCCCTCCCTCCCTCCCTCGCTCCCTCCCTTTCTTCCTTCCTTCTTTCCTTCCTTTCTTCCTTTCTCTATCTTTCTTTCTCTCTTCTTTCTTTCCTTCTTGCTTTCTTTTTTTTGGAGAACAAGCTTCCCTCTTGTTGCCCAGGCTGGAGTGCAATGACGTGATCTCAGCTCACTGCAACCTCCTCCTGGGTTCAAGTGATTCTCCTGCCTCAACCTCCCAAGTAGCTGGGATTACAGGCATCTGCCACCATGTTTGGCTCATTTTTTTGTATTTTTAGTAGAGATGGGGTTTCACTATGTTGGCCAGGCTGGTCTCGAACTCCCGACCTCAGGCAATCAACCCACCTTGGCCTCCCAAAGTGCTGGAATTACAGGCGTGAGCCACTGTGCCCGATCTATAGCCCAATTTTCTTATTGTCCTGTTGGTAAACACTTGGGCTGCTTACAGTTTTCCCCCTATATAGATGCTACAATGAAGCTTTATTTATTTATTTATTTATTTATTTATTTATTTATTGAGATGGGGTCTCATTCTGTCACCCGGACTGAAGTGCAGTGGTGTGATTAGAGCTCACTTTAGCCTCAACCTCCTCAGGCTTAGGTGATCCTCCCACTTCAGTTGCCCAAATAGCTGGGACTACAGGTATATGCCACCACACTCAGTTAATTTTTGTATTTTTTGTAGAGACAGGGTTTGCCATTTTACCCAGGCTGGTCTGGAACTCCTGGGCTCAAGCTATTTGCTCACTTCGGCCTCTCAAACTGCTAGGATTACAGGTGTGGACCACCAAGCCCAGCCCAGTGAATCTTTTAATATTTGTGAGTTCATGTGAGAGGGGCTCTCCAGGGTGACTACACTGGGGTAGACAATCTGGATATTAGGGCTTATGCCATTGACACTAGCAGGGTCTTGGGTGTTTTACTGGCACATTTTAAGAGGCTGATTGCCAACTTATTTTGGTTAGTAAAGGGGGTGAACTGTTCAAGTCTCTCTTTTACAAATAAAAGAGCATTCAGTCAATAATTTGCTCAAAGGTAGCTCAGAATGGAACCATAATGTCAAATCTTTGCATGTTCCTCCTTCTGTTCTTCAATACTTTACTCGCCCCTTGTAACAGTCACCTGTCATGATTAGGCTTCCCAGCCACTACGAACTCTTAAGAGATAAATTGGTAAAGCCTATTCTGAAGCAGTAATTTTATCCTAAAAGCTACCAACCTCTTTAACATTTCTTCTGACTCCATGGAATGCTTTCTAAATTTATATTCCTGGCAGTATGGATGCATAGTTTTTTAAATGCAGGATTTGCCTGCATTTAAAATGTTCTTTGAATATTTCATTGGCTGCGAATCCATTAGACTCCAGCATGGAGGCCTATATGTTTCTATATATAAGACTCTTTCAGGCTGTGAATGTCAAGGGGCAGGTTTTTCTCATAGAGAAGAACTAGAGTAGCAAGGACAAAGGAGCAACAGGCCAGGTGCTACCTCAACAAACAGCAGCAGCATTGTGCAGTCATAACCTTCCTTTGTCACTAAGCAACAAGAAATCGACCTCCAAAGATTCTCTTCCCTGAAGACATATCCTCCAGAAGACAAAAGGAAAGTTTGCCTTTTCTGCTCCCTTCTTGGAAAGATGCAAAGTGCTTTAGTAGGCTCCTGGGTAAGAGTGCACTTTATGTTAATCCTGGCCCTAGGTCCTCTGGTTGTACCTGAAATCTGACTGAGTCGTGAGAGTGAAGTGAAAAGGTTTTCATCTGGCATCCAACCTGGAATAGGACCCTGAGCTGCCCACTTCCTCTCTACCATCCTGAAGTCACCCCTGGAGGCTGCCTAGTCTTCCTAACACTTTGCCCCCTTCCATGCAACCTGGTATCCTGCAAGCCAGTGGAAATTCCTAGTGCTCTAGCCACCCCATTTATTCCTAGTTCATTGTTTGAGCCCCTCAAGCTTTTGGAGTTTGGCTGCTCTCTAGTCTGGGAACATTTTGAGGGCAAAGACTGTGTTTTTGTCCGTCTGTATTTCCTGTGCCCAGCCCCATGCCTGGAAGACAATAAAGGTCTGATAAATACTGTTAAGCTAACTTGAATAGAGAGTGAGGGGTTCCTGAAAGAGAAGGATAGATAGACAAAGTGACCTACGTCTTCAGTGGGATGGAAAGATATGAGACTTCCTAGTCCCATTGAAGAGCCCACTGTGATGGCCAGAGGACAGGCTTGGGACAGGTTCTGCTCAGGGTTATAATTGTGGAGGGCCAGATACTCATCCTCTCCAGGGAGAACTCACGACAAAGAGGTTGGGCCATAGGCATTCCCAGACATGATCACCCACAGGGTGTCCACCTAATGACATCAGCATGGTACAGCTCCTTTCTTGGACCTCTGATAGTTGCTTATTTCTGTCTTCTGACAATTCCTCTCTCTGAAATTATGTCCATGCCGGGTGTGGTGGCTCACTCCTGTAATCCCAACATTTTGGGAGGCCAATGTGGGCAGATCAATTGAGGTCAGGAGTTTGAGACCAGCCCGGCTAACATGGAGAAACCCTGTCTCTACTACAAACACAAAAATTAGCCAGGCATGGTGGTGGGCACCTGTAGTCCCAGGTACTTGGGAGGCTGAGGCAGGAGAATGACTTGAACCTGGGAATTGGAGGTTGCAGTGAGCCGAGATTATGCCACTGTATTCCAGCCTGGGTGACAGAGCCAGACTCTGTTTAAAAAAAAAAAAAAAAAAATTCGGGGAGAACAATAAAGGGGATTTCTTCTCAGACTCTTTAGGAAAGGACCACACCTCTGATTAGTGGCCCTGCCCACAAATCTCTGCTCTGAATGAATGGCACCCCTTCCCCACACATGCATAGTCCAAGTGGGTCAGTACAGCTGAGGCCAACTGTCCCAATGATGGATGGAGACAATTCTATACTGGCCCATCTCCAGGAGTATCCTAACTCCTTAGATTGTTTCTATTCTTTCAGGAACTTCCATGAGGGGCTTCTGGTCTGGCTTTCCTGGAACCCTCAGTTGGGTCCCTGAGGGCTAGGACTTGAGTGATTTGAGTGAGTTTTATCCTCATTCCTGTCTTGTTATAGCACAGCAGTGGCTTCTATGGGCACTACAGAAGCCAATTCAAGAGTGAAAGTGCTAGAGAATACCGCCTTGCAGCCAAGCCCCAGCCTCCAGCAGTGTTCCTGCAGCGATGTCAGGTACAAGGCAGACCTGAAGGCAGTGGGGGTAACTGGACCAGTTCTTGCCTCTCCCAGAACCCATCCCCAGCCCTTTCATGGCTGTACTGACAGCTAGCTGGGGCCAGCTATCCCTGGGACAGGCTTTACCTCTCTCCTCTGAGATGCCAGATCTTTCCCCTACAGACAGGGTGGAAAAGAGTGAGTACCAAACTGAACCATTTTGCTCACTGCCCTTCTAAATGAGCAAAGGGCAAGGGCCCAGCTGGGCGGGTAGCTATGGGCAGAGAGCCTCTAGAACCCAGGAAGTAAGCCTTAAGTTTTGCTGACAACTACCTTCATATTCAGATTCCTTGATGCTAACAAAGCCCATGGTCCATCCCATAACCAGCTTCACAGTCCAGGGCCTTGGAAATTAATAGGAGGCCTCCTCTGGTCAGGGAAGTAGTACGGGAGGCAGCTGGGTACTGGCCTGCACATTTGGCTGGGGAATACTGGAAAGGAGTGATGGAAGAGGTGGCCTAGAGTGGTTGTAACAGGCTTCTAGAGAACACGAAAGGGATATAGGGCCACAGGCCCTTTACTGCTTATAGGCCTGGAGACAAGGAAGGGGCACTGTGTATCATAAATCAGGGTCACGGCAGGGCAAGGTGGCTCACACCTGTAATCCTAGAACTTTGGGAGGCCAAGGCAGGCGGATCACTTGAAGTCAGGAGCTCGAAACCAGTTTGGCCAACATGGTGAAATCCTGTCTCTACTAAAAATACAAAAAAAAAAAAAGAAAGAAATTAGCCGGACATGGTGGTGCACGCGTGTAATCCCACCTACTTGGGAGGCTGAGGTAGGCAGAATCGCTTGAACCTGGGAGACAGAAGTTGCAGTGAGCCAAGATTGCACCACCGCACGCCAGCCTGGGCAGCAGAGCAAGACTCCATCTCAAAAAAATAAAATAAAAATAAATAAATCACGGTCACAAGAGTAAAAAGGATACTCAAAGCAACAGAACTCAGAAGGATATGTTTACAAAGGATTGGGTGTGACAGCCTCAGGTAAAGACAGTCTCACAGGCTGTTAACAACCAAGTGGTGAGTACCAATGAGCCCAAAGGGACAAGGGGGAAGCATGGCTCCTAGAATCGAGAAGGAGAGAAAGGTATGGAAAGGGTCACCCTGACAGAAGCAGTGATCCTAGGTAGAGAGACATAGCCAGGTGGGAGGTTGCCTAGGAGGGAGCCAAGAGAAGAAACACCTCCTCTCTCTTTTCCTCCATTTCCTCCCAGGGATCCCTGGTGGCCAGGACAAAGGGAGCCTGGTGTTGAGTGCAGTCAGGTCAGCCTCCAGAGCAACAGTTGGTAGAAGAAGGCCCAGAGGGATCTGAAAGATACCTGAAACAGGCACCACCCACGGCACCTTCTTGCTTCCTAGCCTCTTGCCAGGTCCTACTTGATCTGCCATCTGGATTTTCTATGAATTGCTTTCCCAGGCTGAGAGCAGGGTCCTAGAGGCTGCTATTTTATGGAACTGAACTTCCTTAGCATATATACTTGCAAGGACTGCCTGGCACAGCCTACCAAGCCAGGCCCAGATGCAGCTCCAGATGCTTATCCAGGGCCACCTCCCTTTTGAGAGTGATGGTATCTGGGTAGTGCAGGAAGAGAATCCAGAGACTTCCTGCTGTATGTTTGTTATTGCCCTTGGTGGCAGCTCTCCTCTGAGAGACTGGAACATCCAATCAATCTGTTAAACTCGTTCCTCATGAACAGACATGTAAGAGACATGTTTTGGCTGCTGATCAATGTAAGGACTTGCTACATAAATGATTTACTAGCATTATCAGCACCCCTAACTAGCATAATCTGTGTGTCTTGGATTCAGGTTACATAAATTTCAAATCTCCTGTTCCATTTTAGGTCTAAAACTGTTTTAATTAATAGGACCACTCAGGGAAGTTGCACATTTTCTTTCTGCATTGGCTGAGAGGTATCAGGTTTCAGCTGGCAAATTCTACCTATTATTTAAAGTCTTTCCAAGACGTAGTATCCATTCTCCTTTGGTTTGTAAAATTTTTGTCCATGACATTCAGATGCAAGAAAATTCTTTTTTCTTCTTTTTCATTTTTTTTTCTAAAGCAGATTAGTCTATTTCTAGCCTTTACCTGCCTAATTCTTGGGAAATATAATTCTGGTCCTCTTGGTTTCTCAGGTTGGATAAGAGTCCTGTCTGGTAAGGGGCAGGCTCTTCACCTGTGGTTCCATGATTGCTGGGCCCCTGCTGTCATCCTATCCCTCAGTTTCCCAAGGAGACTCCTCTCTTATTGAACACTGTCCAGCCTCTACAGGGGCCCTTAGCCCTCCCACATGCAAATGCTGCCCCTTCCAAAGAAAACCACCTCTCTTCCAAGGTCTCTTAAGATGGAGACAGTCTTAACTCTACCTGCTCAGAAACCATGGATTGTACCACCTTTATGGAAAAGGAGCTGTGAATGGTTAAGAAACAAAGATGCTAGTGATTATTCTTTGCAGGGCAAGAATACCCAGAGAGGAAATGACAGTGCTTCTCACCAAGCTTCCACAGTTTTGAGAGAACAAAACTCAGTGGGCATCAATAAATTATCCTGCCACTGCAGGAATAGTGAATTTCCAGTCAGAGGTGACTCTGACAGGAAAGACATGTACATTCCATTCCAGGGCTATGTACAATTCTGTAGCTGAGGATAGACACAGGGTAGAAATTTGGGGGTCAATTGAAACTTGCCCAAGATGCGTAGATTTTATTTTAATCGAAACTTTCATTGAAGTCATTATCAATTCATAAGCAGTTATAAAAAATAATAGAGATCTCTTCTATACTTTGCCTGGTTACCTTTAATGGTAACATTTTGCAAAGCTATAGTACAATATCACAACCAGGACATTGACATTGATTGATATAATGACTAAAGTTCATTCAAATTTCCCCCCTAGTTTTACTCGTGTGTGTGTGTGTGTGTGTGTGTGTGTGTGTGTATTAAGAGCTATAAAATTTTGGCCGAGCACAGTGGCTAACACCTGTAATCCCAACACTTTAGGAGGCCAAGGTGGATGGCTCACTTGAGGTCAGGAGTTCGAGACCAGCTTGGCCAACATGGTGAAACCCCATCTCTACCAAAAATAAAAAAATTAGCCCAGGATGTCAAGGCTGAAGTGAACTATGATTGCATCACTGCACTCCAGCCTGGCAACAAAATGAAACCCTGTCTCAAAAAAAGTTATATAAATGGAATAATACAATATGCAACCTTTGGAGATTGGCTATTTTTGCAGCATAATTTCCTAAAGATTCATCCAAGTTATTGTGTTCCTCAATTGTTCATTTATTTTCATTACTGAGTAGTATTCCTTGATACACATGTACCAGTTTGTTTAAACATTCATCTGTTACAGGATATCTGACCTGATTCCAGTTTTTGGCTCATACAAATAAAGCTGTTATGAATATTTGTCTATAGATTTTTGGTTGAACATAAGCTTTTGTATCTCTGGGATAAATGCCCAGAAATACAATTGCTGGGTCATATGGTAGTTGCATGTATAGTTTTTAAAAGAAATTGCCAAGCTGTTTTTGAGAATGGCTTTACCATTTTATATTCCCACCAGCAGTGCATGAATGAGCTGGTTTCCCTGCATTCTCACCAACACCTGGTGTTGTTTCTATTTTCAATTGTAGTTATTCTGATAGCTGTGTAGTGATATCTTACTGCAGTTTTAATTTGCATTTCCCTGATGTTTAATGATGAATATCTTTTCATACGTTGTTTGTCATCTGTAAATCTTGTTTGGTTAGATGTCTTCATGTTTGCCCATTTTCTAACTAGATTGTGATTTTACTGTTGAGAGAATTACTTATATATTCTAGTCTTCTGTTGGATACATGGTTTGTAGATACTTTCTCCTAGTCTGTAGCTTGGTTTGCAGTGGCGTGATCATGGCTCATTGCATCCTTAACCTCTTAAGCTCAAGTGATCCTTTCACTTCGGCCTTCCTAGTTGCTGGGACCACAGATATGTACCACCACACCTGGCTAATTTGTTATTTTTTTGTAGAGATGTGGTCTGGGAGTCTTGCCATGCTGCCCAGGCTGGTCTTGAACTCCTGGGCTCAAGCAATCCTTCCTCCTTGGCTTCTCAAAGTCCGGGGATTATGGGTGTGAGCCACTGCACTCGGCCTTAGCTTGCTTTTTTTTGGAGATGGAGTCTCTCTTGCCAAGTCTGGAGTGCAGTGCTGAGATCTCCACTCATTGCAACCTCCGCCACCCAAGTTCAAGCAATTCTCCTGCCTCAGCCTCCCCAGTAGCTGGGATTTCAGGGACCCACCACCACGCCCAGCTAATTTTTGTATTTTTGGTGGAGACAAGGTTTCACCATGTTGGCCAGGCTGGTTTCGAACTCCTGGCCTCAAGTGATCAACCTGTCTCAGCCTCCCAAAGTGCTAGGATTACAGGCATGAGCCACTGTGCCCGATCTCAGCTTGCTTTTTGAGGAATGAAAGCTTCTCATTTTCTTCGAGTTTTCATTTTGCTTGAAGACTACCGCTGGATTGTCTAAGGCAGGCAGTCCTAAAAAGGGAACTCTTAAACACACATTCAATAAGCTCTACCCTTATTCTGGTTCAGGGATATAGGATGGAGCATTTTATCTGGGAACCTGCTTTCAGCCATTACCTGTACTCCCAAGCCTGCCAAGCCTGACCTTGCCAGATCTGGCCACTTCAGGTCTACAGCACGAGAAGCTGAGTGGCTGGGAGGGAATGGCTCTGAGGGCAGAACCCAGGCACAAGGCAAGAAGGTGGCCTTGGGACAGATTCCTGCTGAAGTCTGGAGGCCTAAGAGATGCTCTTTCTCTGCCTAGGAGGGGAGCAAGGCTCTCTAGCTCCAACTGAGCCAAAGTAAATGCCGTGGGGCCAGGACTTTCTGTCCCTGTTCATTAATTTGTTTTTTTAGACAGAGTTGCCCAGGCTGGAGTACAGTGGCGTGATCTCGGATCACTGCAACCTCTGCCTCCAGGTTTAAGCCATTCTCCCACCTCAGACTCATGAGTAGCTGGGATTACAGGCAGGCACCACCACGCCCAGCTAATTTTTTTGTGTGTTTTAGTAGAGATGGGGTTTCACCATGTTGGCCAGGTTGGTCTTGAACTCATGACCTCAAGTGATCTGCCCGCCTTGGCCTCCTAAAGTGCTGGGATTACAGGTGTGAGCCACCACGCTCAGCCTAATTTTTGCATTTTTAGTAGAAACGGGGTTTCACTATGTTGGCCAGGCTGGTCTCAAACTCTTGACCTCAGGTGATCCACCTGCCTCAGCTTCCCAAAGTGCTGGGATTACAGGTGTGAGCCACAGCAGGTTCATTGATTTAACAGCAACATTTACTGAGCACAGTGTCAGGCATTATTCTCAGTGTTAGAGTTATAGATGTGAGCAAGACAGACCACCTTTGCCTACAAGAAGCTTATGTTCTAATGAGGGGCATGAGATGTTCTAATTGGGGCGGGGGCAACAACATATTATAGAATCATATGAAGCCAGGCGCGGTGGCTCACGCCTGTAATCCCAGCACTTTGGGAGGCTGAGGTGGGCGGATCACCTGAGGTTGGAGTTTGAGACCAGCCTGACCAATATGGTGAAATCCCATCTTTAAAAAAAAAAAAAAAAAAAGAATCATATAGTTAGCAGGAGAGAAAAATGCAGGGTTAGGGTGACGGAACTATTGGCATAGTGCTCAAGGAAGGAAGAGGGAGGTGTGAGGAAATTATATGGCCAGGAGAAGAAACAGGTGGCACAAAGCCCTGAGTGCGAGCACCTGGTATTTCCGAGGAGCAGTGGGGAAACCAATGTGGCTGGAGATAACAAAAGGACCAAATATCGTGTGGGTCTCACAGACCACTATGATGACTGGCTATCACAAACAGGAGGAACTGCTGTGAATTTTCAGCAAATGAGATGTGATCTCATTTATGTACTAACGGAATATGCTGGCTGCTAAGTGGACAACAGACTGGAGGGGCAAGTTTGAAAGCAGGGACACCAGGCAGGAAGCTCTTGGAATAATTCAGGCAAGAGAGGAAGGTGGCTTGGACCAGGGAAAACAGTGGGCATGCTGAGAAGTGGTCTGGTCCTGAGTACATTTTGACCACAGTATCAACAGGATACTGGCACCTTCAATGTGAGGTATGAGAGAAGAGAATTAAGGGGACTCAAGGTGTTTGATGGGATCTGGCTGCTGTGGTCTAAGCTGGGGGAGGCTGTAGGTAGAGTGTGTCTGGGGCTAACCCAAAGCTCAGTCATATGTTTGGAGATATCCAGTTGGGCATTTACATGGAGATGTGGAGTAAGGAATAGTCTTTTGAGTCCAGAGTTCAGGAGGAAGCTCAAGCTGGAGATAGAAATTCCAGTTTTCAGATAGTATTTAGGGCCAAGAACCTGGGTATGCTGATGAGGGAGTACATGTGGATGCAGGAGAGGAGAGGACTGAAGTCACGGGCAATTGAGAGTTAAGGCCCAACTTGAAACTCAGCCGCTGCTCCCCTGATGGCAGGATGTCCTGGAAGATGCCTCAGGACCCTCCTCAATAAGGGTTCCAGTTGCTTCTGCTTCAGGGCAAGTCCCAGGATGAGATATCCCAGGACTGAAATGTTGCTTTAATTAGTCTCTGCCCTCTGTCTGTTGGCAGTTAAGCAGCTTAGGGGCAGTGGCTCCTGGTGACTTCCCTCCATTAGGGACCCTGGGGCAGTGATCCAGGTAAGGGTGGGTAAATAAGCATTAGTTTCCCCATTCACCTCCTTTCTCAATGTCTTTCAAGGAGCCGGCACAGCAACACTTCTTCTCCAAGCATGACAACCGTACTTCCTTTGACAAAGTGAGTTCTGAAGAGAGGAAGAATGGCAGGCAGTCTCCCAGCCTAAGCCGAAGTCTGGACAGAGCAGGCGGTGGGGTGGAGGGGATGACCCTGAGGGAGGGCTCCTTATGAAGGCAGAGGAGTGGCTCTCTTCCCCCACAAACTTTCTCCTCTAAGAAACAGCCTACTCCCCCAAACAGAGGCATCTCCATTGGTTTCCTCTGCCAGCTTTCCAGACAATGTGCAAATATCCTGTAGGCCACTGACTCTCTGGGTGCTTCACCTTAGAATGAAAGTCATCAGGCCAGGCACGGTGGCTCAGGCCTGTAATTCTCTGCACTTTGGGAGACTGAGGCAGATGGATCACGAGGTCAGAAGTTCAAGACCAGCCTGGCCAACACGGTGAAACCCCATCTCTACTAAAAATGCAAAAGTTAGCTGGGCCTGGCGGCACATGCCTGTAGTCCCAGCCACTTGGGAGGCTGAGGCAGAATCGCTTGAACCCAGGAGGCAGAGGTTGCAGTGAGCTGAGATGGCACCACTGCACTCCAGCCTGGGCAACTGGGCAAGACTTCATCTTAAAAAAAAAAAAAAATGAAAGACATCACTGGGGAGGCAGCCCAAGGAGGCCAGGGTATAGGGCAAGACAGACAGGCATAGGACAGGCATCACTAAGCAGACTTGGGGTTAGGAGGGGCCCAAGAAGGTGCTTGGTGCCAGGAATATGGGCCAAGGGCCCGTACCGTTGAGGAGGGCCCCTACTGCCTGCTGCAGGGAATCGGAAGGCGGAAGGACCTGGAGCGTCTGTGGCAGCGGCACACCTTCCTGCGCTGGGCACCCTGTGAAATGGAGTTGCGCCAGCAAGGGCCCCTGGAATCTTCTTACGAGGCTGATTTCCGACCAGGCCCAGGACTCAGTGGACTCCCCCAGCGCCTCGTCCACTTTGTGCAGGTCCAGCCTTCCCATGCTAGGACCACCTACCAGCAGAACTTCTGCTACCCATCCCGGGGTGGCCACTGTGGCAGCTACAAGGTAGGGCCCCAGGCGTTAGTCACCGACACACTGCCTGACCTCCCAGGGATCCCAAGACCCAAGCTGCTGCAGCACTACCTTCATGCTGGGGTCTCTGAGTGTCTAAACTGGTCCAGAGCATTAAACGAGGACAGCTGACACAGCAGCCTGTCTGTGCTTGCAGCCCAAGATGTATTAGAGGCCGAAAGGTAGTAGTGGGCTGCCAGGTCCTGTGCCTGTCTCCTATGGCACTTATGCCCATGGTGTTTTTGTGCTGGGCATGAGAGGTACTGCTCTGGGAGCCCTGCCACTAAGTGAGAAAGGGTAGGGTTTGCAAGAGGCTAAGAGTCCAGGAGGGTTGCCATAGCCACAGCAAGTGGGTTCCAGGGCCCCAAGTACTACTCTGTTCTTGCAGCAAACCCAGCTGTAGAGAGGAAGAATAGAGGGCCATCCCTAACCTAAGTTGAAGTCAGGACAGAGCAGGCAGTAGGGTGGAGGGGATGACCCTGAGGGAGGGCTCCTTATGAAGGCAGAGGAGTGGCTATCTTCCCCACAACCTTTCTCCTCTAGCAAATAGCCTATTCCCCCAAACAGAGGCATCTCTGTGTTGGTTTCCTCTGCCAGCTTGCCAGAAAATGTGCAAATATACTGCAGGCCACTGACTTCCTAGGTGCTTCACCCTAGAATGAAAGGCTCACTGGGGAGGCAGGCCAAGTACTCAGTGTAGCTGTGGGGAAAGCAGATCCCAGACACCCCTACTAGTAGGCAGCAGAGGCTGGAAGAGGGAAGAGTGGGCAGCTTTCTCAGGAGGCAGCTGCCTTTGAGGAGTTTGTTGGGTGGCCACACAGTCCTGTCCAAGAAATGGCTGCCCCACAGCTGAGACAGGAGACTGCCCTGGGCCACAGAACCCACTGAACCACCCCTCCCTGTAAGAAGGGTGAGCCGAGATCCTGAGGAGACACTCTGTAACTTGGATCTGGAGGTCTTCCTAACCCTGTGGTGTTTTCTGAGCACTTCTCTTGTCATCCTATCCTGCCATCCTTTGGTGACATGTGATGACAGCCCTTGTTTACTATCCTAGTGCTCTCTAATCCCCAGGACTGTAAGGAGGAGCTGTCATCACATGTTGCCAAAGAAGCTGAGGCTTAGATGAAACTAATACACCAAATCACTTTGGGAACACAGACCAGATCCAAGAGGCTTCTTCTGGACCCTCATTCTTAGGAGCATTGAGACCCCCAAAGGAAGGCAGAAGCAGTGGATGCAAGAAGGGAGTTCATACCAGGGTCCACACACTAGGTTTTAGCAGCACTTTTACTTCCACATCCAAACTCCCTGGGTCCTCACAACAGCCCTGTGAGGTAGGTAGGGTAAGAAGGTTTCAGAGATCCCCATTTATAGATGAGGATGCTGAGGCACAGAGAGGTGAAGTGACTTGCTCAAGGTCATACAACCAGCAGTGTAAAGGGCCCAAAGCCAGCACTCCTCTGCTTGAACTCCTGGGCTCTGGCCCTCTGGCAGTTCCCACATCCTTTCTACTCTCTGTGTCCCCCACCCTCTCTGAACTCTCCTGGGTCTACCGGGACCCTAAAGGCAGGCTGGCACCTGGCATTTTTCAGGAATGGCAACTGGGGTGGGCCTGGTCAACTCCAGATAGGAACTAATCCTGAAGAGCATGACGCCAGCTTTCCTTCTCCCCATTTCCCAGTTGGATGGAAGGCCTAGTAGGTCCCAGGGCAAGGATGGAGCTAGGCATGGTTCATGAACGAATGATGATAAAGGTAGGTGTAAGCATATGTGTGGCCTGCACTAAAGACGAAGGTTCCCCTAACCCAAGGCCCCAAGCCAGTGTCTCAAGTCCTCATCCCCATGCCTTTCTCATCCCACAGAGCCACAGTGAGTGTCCTCAGCAGCAAAAGGAGCCATAGAAATAGCTGCCTCTGGCACTGAGCTGCTCCAGTGGACAGATCTCACCAGGCCTTCAGACCCCATCATGTAGACACAGTGCCTCCACGGCTTGACTGGGGCCCTGGGCCACACCCCCAATAACAAACAACCGGGGCCCAGCCTGCAGACTAGAGCAGGAACAGCGGGCAGTGGGCATGGCAGGCAATGCCTCCCAGCGCCGTCGTACAAGGCTAAAGCTCTCCACAGAGCCCAGAGGACATGGCTGGTTTCCTACAAGAAGGAGAGAGAAGGCTGTGAGAGGCATATACTATAGGGACTCGAGGCCCTTCCTCTCCCTGAGTCCAGAAAATAGCCCAGTAGGTATCATCCCAGGATGAGCTATCATTATCTTGCTCCTCATTGCCTGTGTTCATCATTTGTTCATTCATGTTTCTATTTGCCCTTTTGAGTGTGCATACAGTGGTCATTTGTCCTGCTGCTGTCTTGTAGACCCTTGCTGGTGCTTGACAGAGCCCCCCGTCACTGAGGGATACCCTGAGTGCTGGGCCAGGCAGATCACATCCTGCCTGCTTCACAGATAGGGGAAAGAGTTCACAAAGCCCTGACCTGACCCCTGGAGTGCCTGGAGATGGGCAGAAGGTGGCACACATGTTAAGGGCTACTCTTTCCTGTCTTGGAACTCCCTCCTCTCCCCAGCCCCACAGAGACTTACCAAGGCCCCCAATGGCCACAATGTGCCCCCCAAGGGAGCCAACCACAAAGTCTGCCCTCTTATCCCTCATGCGCAGGCTGCGGGGCAGCTTGGTCCAGGATCCTGCAGGAGAGGGGAGGTCAACTCTATTCATGTACCTACTATGCCCCTCCATCCCATACAGAGTGAGAGGATGGCCCACAACAGCCACTGCTCACCATGCTCCAGGTCAAACATCTCCACAGTGTTGACAAAGTGTGGGCGAGAGTAGAAGTTATGGGGCCCAGGCTGCTGCAGGCCACCCAGGCTAAAGACACTGCCTTCAGCCATGGCACATCCAGCAAAGGCCCGACGGCTGGGTAGGCTTGGATGCCGGGTCCAGGTACGGGTCTCCAGATCAAAGGCTTCAAAAGCAGTCACAGGGAGCTTGCCCTGGCGGCCCCCTGTCAATGGAATTGGGGTACCTGGGAAGGAGCCCAGGAGGCTTGGTGGGCTCCTCGATCACTAGGTTGCTGATCTGCCTGCCCCAGCCTCCCACACATCCTGCTATGTGTACACTTGCACATGGATCATCCACACTGTAGGCCCTCAGGCATTGGGGTTTGGTTTTCCAACTCCATCAGAGCCACCAGGGGTCAGAGCCTCAGAGCAGCCATGAATCAACGCAACAAAGCTTCTCTTCTTCTGCCATCCTGGACTGAGCCCAATCTCTATCCCAGCCAACCTATGAGGATGGGGATTTCTAGATTCTGAACCCCTTTCCCACATCCCCCAGGCCCTTACCCAGGACATAGATCTTGTTCCCGTGCAGGAAGGTGGAGGCCCCATAGCAGGGTGTGGGCATGGAGGGTAGCGAAAGCCAGCAATCCCGACGGGGCTCATACACACGTACCTGGGCCTGGGGGGCCGTGTCAGGGCCCATTCCCCCCAGAGCATACACCATACCATCTGCATAGAAAAAGAGTAGTTCAGACTGCACCCCAGCCTGCCAGGGCACCCCACCCTGACAGCTGTCCTGGTCAGGCCTGGGGGTGGCTGGAGACCCATGTGTTTATGGCATCCCTCCCCAGCAGCAGACACTCTACTACCTGCTTGGTGTGGGGGCTGGGGGAGCTGGGATTCCTTCTCTGGTCAGGGCCCCTCTGAGTAAAGAGCAGGAGGCAGCTGGTCTAATTATAATCTGACTCTGTCTCCCTGGAGACACTATGGCAACAGAGTCTGGCATCCAAGCAGGGCTGGCCTGGGCTGGTGGTCAGACCTGGAGGCCACATGGTGGGGACTCCCCTGGGGGAGGAAGATGGCTTAAGCCAGGGTGGGAAACATGGGGATCTGCTTAGCACAGAGCTCAGTCTGGGGAGGGGGCTTAGGGACCAGCTGGAGTTAGAGATGGGGTTGGGAGAGGAATGGTTTGAGTCTGTTGGGCAAAGGTACTGTCTACAAGCCTTCTGCCCTGGGATCCTGCCGGCACCTCTTTCACTATGGCACCTCTTTCACCTCTGCCATAGTCTTTCACTATTTTAGGCTCTTGCCCTCTGTTAAACCCTCAGAGTCAGCTGGGGTATGTCTGGGGGCCTTGGGGTAATGGGCCAGTCAGCTGGGGGCTTCCATGGCAACCATCCCCAAGTCAGCTTGGCCTTTGTCCATATCAGGCTCTCTGTTGTGTGGGAAGGGTTTAGTGGGGGAAGTCTAAGCACTTGCCAGGCTCTGAGCCAAGGCCCTACTCCTGTCCCCCACCCCAGACTATTTATAACCCTGGAAGTCATTAGGTCATCCCACCCCCATCTCTTAGAAATGAGGAGTGGGGCAGGGACATGGCTGGGGCCTCCCATCTTTCTGGGATCGGCTTGGGCTCTGCCTCCCACCTTAGTCAGAAAAGGCAGTTAATAGAAGGCTGCTGAAAGCCTAGCTCAAAGCTAGGTTGGAAAGGATACAGGAGACAAGGCCACATCCTGGGCACCCATGTAAAAATTACAGCTCTTGTTCAGTCTCTGAGGGCAAGGGACTAAGCAAATAGTAAAAGGTGTTAGGGTACCTGAAGTGCCTTCCTTGGGAGGCCACTCACCTCTCTCGACAGTTGCAACCCCCATGGCTGCTTGAGGGAGGGTGGCTCGACGCTCCCAGCGGCCCTCATCCATCAGGAAGGCCTCCACAGCAGCTACCGGGCTCTGGACCTCATCCACACCACCCACCACTAGCACCTGCTTGCCCAGAACCACCGCAGCTGCGCCAGCCCGGGCAGTGGGCAGGGGTGCCAGTGCCAGCCATGTGTGCGAGGCCATGTCCAGTGTCTCAGCAGTGTCCAGGGGCAGTCCAGCCTGGCCACAACCCCCCAACACCAGCAGGTGCCCATCTTGGTGTGCCACTGTGCCATAGACCCGGCAAGTGGGCATAGGGGGGAACACCTGCCAAACAAAGGCCCGGCCACCTCCTGCAGACATGGTGTTCACTGCCAGTGGCAGGCCATGCTGTCTGCTCAGACTGTAGGCCTCACTGGGGAGGCATGATAGGGCCTCATCTTGATTCTGCCAGGGCCACAAGGGGTATGTGACCAGTCCAGGGACCTTGCCTCCACCTGAGGAGAGAGGGAAAACAGGGGTCAGGGCCACTGACCAGCCCCTCAGGAAACAGATAAGCAGCCTGTAGCTGAGGGTAGAGCTGACCCAAAATCACTGGTGGGAAAGGCATGGGGAGAACCCAACCCCTCTGGCTTGCACACCACTGTGGAGGCACTCCTGGAGTGGGAAGGAGGGCAGACCCCAGGTACCCAGGAAGCTTTCCTCTTTCTCATGGGGGCATGAAGGCTCCTTCCCACCCACTACCCTAACCACTCAGCAACTGGATCAAATCTGGGTCTAGGAAGGCAGTAGTAAGGTGACTAGAACAGGACTCTCCATCCTGGACCCCTTTCTTTCCCCGCAACAAGGCTCACACTAGTTCTGCATGAGGGGAGTCCTACTGTATCCTCCCCTTACTGGCTTTCAGAGTGCTCTGGGCAGCCTAAGGGGTACCCATGCCTGCTGTCAGGGGTCAGATTCCAGAGTAGCCTTACAACATCCTGGGGGCCATTCCACAGGGTTAATTTAAAGCATTCCCACCAGTAAAGGGCCAGAGTCAGGTGTGTTTCGGACTAGGGGGAGGGCTGCACACCACAGTTCCACACTCTCCTCTGGCGGTCTCCCCTCAGGGGTTTGCCCATTCCAAACCCCCCAGAAGCCAGATTCTCTGGTGTCCAGAAGAGGAGTGGGGGGGCCGCTGGGGGAATCTCATGACCACAGGACTCCAGGGTCCGAGTCCAGGGCGTTTCCAGCAAGAATGGCAGCTGGACTTCTGGGTTCCCTCGCAGCAGATCCCCAAGTTCTCCAGCCACCCCTTTCTCTTGGGGGCTACACTCCTGGACCCCAGGCAGGAGGGCCTCCTGGCCCCAAACTTCCAGCTCAAGGATGCGGGGGGCGGGTCTGGGCTAGTGCGCTTGGGGTTCTACGCCCTGCGCCCCAAACTTCCCCTGAGCGTGGTTCCCGCGGGACTCACCCGCCGATGCTCCGAAGCTGCCAGGGCACGGGGTCCGCCGTTCCGCCTCCGCTGACGCCGGATCTGGCTGGAGCTGAAATCGGGCTCCGGCGGGGCTCCGGCACTGCTCCGGCGCGGGGCGGGGCTGGGCCAGGTCCGCCCCTCGCCCCCTCCCCCTCCGACTCAGGGAAACCTCCTCCCGCCTTAACCCTGCACATGCCGCAGCTGGAGTGGGGCGCGCCGACCCATGGCCACATTCAAACGGACAGACAAACGGACACGTGGACACTGGGCCTGCCAGGATTTAGCGTCCGACCTCGGGCAGGAGTAGAAATTAGGCAGCGGCGAGCGACACAACACGTGTATGGCAAGGGGCAGTTCGGAGCCGGACCCACCCTGGGGGACGCAGACTGTAGAGCAGACCAGGCGAACCCGAGGGCTTGTGCGGCCGGCGCCAGCCCCACCTCCGCTGAGCTCCCGGGAGCCCAATGTCAGGCTTCGTGGCGGCGCCCCCTGGAGGCCACTGAGGGCATGGCCTGGGCCTCTGCCTTGGGACAGCCTGGGTCGCCCTTATCATGGCATAAAGCAGGAATAGGTCTTACAGTGTACACTGAGGCTAGCAGGGGTAGAGGGACAGAAGGTACTGGCCGTTCTACAAACCTGGGTGGGGAGAATTCTTGAAGGGAGTGACACTGAGCAGAGGATGTGCTAGAAGAGTCAAAGGCCAGGGGACCTCCCAAGTGGGTCACTCTGGCCTTATCCTATAGGGCCTGAGACCTGGGCTACTTCAGGACCCAAGGCGCATTATAACTAGCCATCTTTAGGATCCTGGGCTTGTCTCTAACCAACTCTGGGGTCAAGCAAGAGCAAAATTGTGTGACAGGCCCACCTACCTCAGGCCCAGATCTTGGCCCTGCCTATTTTCTGAGCATTCAGAGTGTTAGCTGAGTCTTCAAGCTGGGGGCCTATTTGTACAGGTCAGTGGTACCTGTGGGAAGAGATCCTTGCAGTTGTCTGTGTCTGCTCACTGCTTTGTTCCCCTGTCATGGGCAGTGCTTGTCTTAGTTTCCCCAAAGCAGACCTGGAAACAAAGATATACATGCATATAGTTAGTATGGGAGGTGAGGCCAAGAAACACCAGCAGTGGCAAGGAGACAAGGAAAGCAGCCAATAAAGGAAGTGTCATCAAGCAAGCTACCTCTGTGGGCAACTGGGACCAAATCCTGCTGGGAATTCTGGGAGCCAGAGTAGAACATAGGCCTTACATTATTGCTGCCCCCAAGAGCAAGGGGAGCTGAGGTACTCATTTTCAAATCTCCATTAGTCATGGGTTGAGAGCTGTTTGGGGGCATTACCTATTAACTCCCTGGCCTACCTCGTATCTGGCCTTCCCAGAAGTCTACGGGTAGACCCTTCCCCACGACCGGGGAAGAGAGCCTTTGCCCCTTTCAGGGGCTGTCAGTTGGATTCAGAGGGCCTGCACAGAAATGGTGGTGCCAAGGCTTGTTACAGACTGCACAGACCCTGACTTGAAGGCCTCGACCTTCCTTGTCCCACTTCACCTTGGACTTGCTTTTCAGTGCCCTCACTTGGAGCCCTGGTGCTACCCTCTTGTGATTGCCGATAGGTTTCCAGGAGGCTCACACTGCCCTGCAGACCCCTTCACATTTGCTGCTGTTCCCTTTCCAAGCTCCTTCCTCCTCCTTTCCTGCAATTAAGCACTTACAAGCCACTTGCCTTTAGATACCTCCCAACACCCCAAGGCCCTCTTGTCTCCCCTTCCTACCCTCCAGTCAAATTCTTGAAGCCATTTGTCCCCACAAGCTCCATATCCTTGTTACTTGCCACCTCAGTGTGCTGCCACTCCTTCCCCAAAACTGCTCTTGAAAAAGTCATCATGAAATACCATATAGCTAAAACTTTATCTGCCTGTGGTCCTTGGTACTTAATTAAATCTTGCTAGCATCGTCAAAGTTTTGCCCCTTGTGACCTCAACTTCCTCCTGCTGCTTGTCCTGCCTCTCAGAATCTTTTCTAGGCTCTGCTTCTTCTCCATCACCAGGAATTGGCTCCTCAAGATTCAACCCTGGCTTTTCTCCCTGGCACACATATTTTCTCTTGGGGTAATCCCTTCCAGGCTATGCCTTCATTCACATCTAGATCTCCAACAGGTCTCTCTGCTCAGATAGAGGTGGGTCCAGGATCCATGGAGAACCATATAAGGCTGGGGAAGGGGGTGGCTCACACCTGTAATACTAGCATTTTGGGAGGCTGAGGAGGGCAGGTCACCTGAGGTTAGGAGTTCAAGACCAGCCTGACTGACATGGTGAAACCTTGGCTCTACTAAAATTACAAAAAATTGGCCAGGCATGATGACTCATGCCTACAATTCCAGCAGTTTGGGAGACCAAGGTTGTGGATCATTTGAGGCCAGGAGCTCGAGACCAGCCGGGCCAACATGGTGAAACCCCACCTCTACTAAAAATACAAAAATTAGCCAGGCATGGTGGTGAGTGCCTGTAGTCCCAGCTACTCCGGAGGCTGAGGTAGGAGAAACACTTGAGCCCAGGAGGTGGAGGTTGCAGTGAGCTGAGATCGCGCCACTGCACTCCAGCCTGGGCAACAGAGTGAGACTCCATCTCAAAAAAAAAAAAAACAGTCTGAGCGCGGTGGCTCATGCCTGTAATCCCAGCACTTTGGGAGGCTAAGGTGGGTGGATCATGAGGTCAGGAGATCGAGACCATCCTGGCCAACATGGTGAAACCCCATCTCTACTAAAAATACAAAAAAAAAAAAAAAATTAGCTGGACGTGGTGGTGCATGCTTGTAGTCCCAGCTACTTGGGAGGCTGAGGCAGGAGAATTGCTTGAACCCAGAAGGTGGAGATTGCAGTGAGCTGAGATTGAACCACTGCACTACAGCCTGAGAGACAATGTGAGACTCTGTCTCAAAAAAAAAGAAGAAGAAGAAGAGGAACCATATAAGTTACCAAATGGAAAGCAATGATTGGATCCTATGATCACCCTGTGTTCTTTTCCATCTCATCCTGTCTGGATCCTATGATCACCCTGTGTTCTTTTCCATCTCATCCTGTCTGGATCCCATGATCACCCTGTGTTCTTTTCCATCTCATCCTGTCTGGATCCTATGATCACCCTGTGTTCTTTTCCATCTCATCCTGTCTGATCCCAGTTATGCCTGTAGGCTCAGCATCCACTAGAGTCCAAGTAAAGTCAGACTGCACTCTGATGAGTGCTCCCAAAGAATTCCATCTAGGGCATACTTGGCACCAGGAGGCAAAAAGTTCACCCCCACCACCCCCGAATGGAGCCAGGTACCCCATGATCCTTAGCCCTATCTCTATCATTTCCCCAGTTCTCATGTCTAGAAGGGACACAACACAGCCAGAGGATGAATCTACCCTTCCTGGTTCTCCATTTGCCCTAACTTCTGAGCTGAACATCACCAGAGAGGGGTCTGGATATGCCCACACTGGTGCCATCCCTGGAGGATGGGCTCTCACTCTCCATGGAAGGGGTTTCTGTTTGCACAATCATGGCTCACTGTAGAAGGGAGATCCCATAAGTGCTGATGCTGGAGCCAAAAGCCTCAGCTTATCTCCATATAAATAATGAAGAAGAAAGTAACTAGAAATTAGTATTTATTAGTTATTCATAGGTGATCTTAATTCTTTTACTAATGCCTCTCAGGTTGGAAGTGTGAACCTGGGGCGACATTGTGAAATGAATGACTCTAAGGCAAGACGCTTTAAGCCCTCTGTCACACCCTCATACGGGCTGCTGGAGGGTGCCTTGGCTAAGCGGCAAAAGCGCCCACTGTTTAGCCAGCTAGGGAAGGAGACATCCAAAATAGCTGAGATGTCTCCTTCCTCGGAGGAGTTAGGAGAAAACTCCACTTCTCCAAGCTCTTATGGTAGGCCTGACGCTGTCCAGTAGGCCTGCAGACATCCAGGGGCTTAATTGTCTCTATGCGATGCTGTGCTTCAGTGGTCACGTTCCATGTCAATCTTATGATCCGCTTCTCCACCTGGTTCCTTCTTTCTTGTAAGAATTAATCAGGGGCCGGGCGCGGTGGCTCAAGCCTGTAATCCCAGCACTTTGGGAGGCCGAGGCGGGTGGATCACGAGGTCAAGAGATCGAGACCATCCTGGTCAACATGGTGAAACCCCGTCTCTACTAAAAATACAAAAAATTAGCTGGGCATGGTGATGCATGCCTGTAATCCCAGCTACTCAGGAGGCTGAGGCAGGAGAATTGCCTGAACCCAGGAGGCGGAGGTTGCGGTGAGCCGAGATCGCACCATTGCACTCCAGCCAGGGTAACAAGAGCGAAACTCCGTCCCCAAAAAAAAAAGAATTAATCAGTAAAAGTAATGTAACTCTTAATGTCTTTGTGACAAGTATGGAAAAAGTGCTGACGCATTATGCCCCTTACCTCATCTCAGCTGCTGAAAATTCCTGACCCCTGTCTGCATGACACATGATATACTTGACCCTATCACTGCCACGCCCTATCTACCCTGCCCCCAGATTTGCAACTCAATAAAAGTCAGAGTGTGCAGACACTGGGGGCCACTGCTGGACTGCTAACCAAAGGGTGGACCCCCGGGCCTAAACTCTCTTTTCTCTATCTCTGTGTCTTGTGTCTTTTATTTCTACAATTTCTCATCTCCGCACCAGCACGGAAGGGTTCACAGAACCCTGTAGGGCTGGACCCTACAGCTCATCTGCACACAGGAGGCCAACACTGCTGGCTTTGAAGAAGCTGTAAAAGACAACTGGTTAAATCGGTCCTGAGAGTGAACAATCAATCTTCAACCATGGACAGGGCCAGAGATGGGACTTACCCACAGTTGGGGACTGGGATAACCAAGGTGGGGCTTCCTGACTGCACCCCATGAGACCCTGGCCCTTGGGACCCCATTTTTCCCTTCTCTGTATCAGGACAAAAGGCTAGAAGAACTGACCCCAGAGGAACAGGAGATTTTGCAATTCCTGCTGGATACCTTGGCTATACTTAAAGGCACTGAGAACCTCACCATCAGTGCCAAGGCCCTGGGAAGCTAAGGTGAGGCCTATGGCACT